TGCTATTGATAAATTTATTGAATTCCTAAAAAATGAAACTCGTCATATTAACGTTGATTTTTCACACCAATACGAAAATATACGTGATTTACGACAAGATATAGATGCAAAATATTGTGATTCATCAGTTCCAAATTATGAAGTTGAAAACGCAGATGAGAGTGTGAATGAAAACGCAGATGAGAGTGAAAATTATATTACCTTTGAAGAAAAAATATATACTACTGATAAATTTATCGAATTTCTAAAAAAAGATACTCATTATATTGACGATGATTTTTCACACCAATTCGAAAATATATGTGAAGATATTCGTGCTTTACAACGAAACATAAAAGATGTAAAATATGGAAGGGACCATAATATTTATGGTGGTGTCCATTGTATTGATGGGGTCTGGGCTGATGATTCTCATCAAAACCTTTGTCGAAATTCATTTAGTTTTCAAATTAGAGCCGAATATAAAAAAAGTAGTAAAAATTCGACGAAAATTAGTACTTTATGATGATGGAACATGTAAAGATATAAAATACGCCACTTAACGTTACTTGGTGCGAATTAATTAGCCAACTGTTTCTATATGCTTCTTCTTTGAATATTAAGGTTAAAATAGGCAATACTACCACATCTTTTATTTTCACCTAAATTTAAATACTGGATTAATTTATTATTTTTTTGTGAAATCAAATTGGCTAAGTAATTGGCTTTATACTATACAACTTTGTTTAGCTTGAGGGACATGCACTTATCTTCTACCATCTTCCCTTACATCAAAGAGCAACTGAATATCTGTGGTCTATTGGAAAGTCAATCAAGCTATCATTTATTCCAGTACAGAGATTTACGGCTAAAAACGCAATCGATAAGTAACTTTTAAAGTTTTTACTTATTTAATAATGTAATTATAAGTAGTAACGTCCTTTTCTTTAGGGTTTTGCTATGAATGACTTGCAAAGTGAATCATTTTTGTGGCAAAAGCCCGAATCTTTATGGTTCAAGACTGGTCTAATACGAACTTCCAATTGATTTTCCAGTTTATCATGCAGTGAGAATTCTTTGGTTCGAGATGACAGGGTTGATGGCCTTTGACAAGTTCATGAGATTTTTTCGTTAGACAGAATTGCTGGTGAAAATTTTCCATAGCAATTCTTTCTTGCGCTTTTCAATATTGAACATTAGTTTTTAAGCCATTTATATTAGTCAATTGTATTTTTTTATAAGAATCAATATTTTATTTGTGCAAAAATTTATTAATTATTATAAAAACTTTTATACAAAAAAGATTAATCTTTAACTCAATTTTTTTGAATAAAAATGAACGATTTCCTAAGTAAAACTACATTTTTTTTAATGAACTTTTTGTAAAGACAACTTTAAATCGTATATATTTCAGCGAAAATTTATAAATGGCATTACTCTTTTATTTTTTAATTTATAAAAAATGAGTTTTTTTACAACAAAGTAGACTATGTTGATAGACTCAACCTATCAAAACTTAATATAGCTGAATATTGGCTACCTCCCCCAATTGCTGAAATTTCACCAAATTCTTCACATTTAAGTTCGAATAGTAATAATTCGTTACTCTCACTTTCATTTCCCAGAGCAGAGGTTTCGCCAAAGCCCCAAGTATACACTTTATTGTCATTATTAACAGCTATAGAATGATAATCTCCAGTCGCAATATATTTGCAATTATTAAGATTAATTCGGACAGGAGATTTTCTGTTTCTTTCCGAAGCACCAGTGCCTAATTGCCCATATCTAGTACTGCCAAAGCTATAAACATTACCATTTTCTAGAAGGACCAGCGTATGATGAAGTCCTGCAGAAATTTGCTTCACTCTGAATAAATTCTCGAAGAACTCTAACTTCATTAGCACTATAATAGGATTCGGCAAATCAATACCACACTGACCCTCCATATTTTGACCCCACACAAAAATAATCCCATCTTCATTGACTGCAAAACTGTGATATCCTCCAGTAAAAATTTTTCTAATTCGATTGATTGATACCTTCTCAGGAATTAAATTAAAATGATAGGCTTTAGGTATTTTTAGTACATGATCAGATATTCTTCTTCCAAGTTGATAAGAATCTCTGCTTCCAAAAGTGTATAAATAACCTTGAGTTGTTAACACTAACGCGTGATTTTCTTCGACAGCGATATCAGCAATTTTTAGGTGCGAAGTAGGGCCGTATTTCATGAATGTCGATTGTTTATCAATTTTTAAAGTAAATCTAGAATTCCCGTTATTATCCTTAGAGGTAAAATGTAAATTAGATTTCTATAATGAAAATATTAATCTTAATGTGCCGTAATTTTAAAAAGAAACCCACATATCCGAAATGTGCCGGTAGCATACAATTGACCTTTATCAGATAAAGCTAACGTTATATTAGAACCACAAACAACTTTGACTATTACTACGTCATCAAGACCTTGAGCGTATACTGGTACATTCTCATCAGTTGTATTTGGATTTTCTTCACTTTTAGAAACTCTTCCCAATGCACCTTTAAATGCAAGAATCAGTTTATATAGTCGACACTATTTAATTTAATAATTCATGTATATATTCGTATCTTCATCATTACATCCCCAAGTAACAACCTAAAAACAATAATAATTAATAAATTTAAATTTTTGTTGTTAAGTATGGGTTAGTTTTTTTTTTTTTTACCTTTCCATCTCGAGTTAGAGCTGCAACATGTAGACTTCCACAACTAATTTTCACAATATGAGAATAAACCAGACTTTTAATTTGTCTAGGATATTTCACTTCTTCAAATTCTTTACCATTCCCTAAGCCAAGTTCACCACAATCGTTGTTACCCATAACAAACAATTTTGTACGTTTTGAATAGGATAGTCCGGGTAGTTCTACATTGATCATCTTGTGTATTCTTTTTTGTGGCATTTTAGAATTGATTTTCAAATTTCTAGTTTATTGGTTTTGTCGTAAATAAATACAGTCAGCTTTGGAATTAAAATAAGCCTTTTTATAGCGAGCCGGACAACGAAAAATTCGATATACTTTATATAGAAATATCTTTTATTATAAAAACCGGTTTTTATATTATTACTGACAAATAATTTATACAGTATATAAAAGTATTAGTTACATTTTTTTGTTATAATATATTATTTATTAAGTAGAAATTGGTGCCGAATTTATTATGTAAAAATAAATTCAGGTTCTGAACTTTATTGAATTTATAAAATTATTTAGTCTCTTAATTAGGACTGGGTAAGATAACAGAACCGAGCGCGTTCTAGTATGCGTACTAAGCCTCAAAATGCTGCGCGATAATGCACATTTGCGAAAAATCTGATATTGTTCTAAAAAAATTTTTTTAGAATCAAAAAAGATTCTTCTCTGTTTTTTTTTTTAATTAATAATAAAAAGGGCTGTGCAGAAGTCGAATTCGCACGAAAGTATTTAAATTTTACAAAAATCATTCCTGGGAATCTAATTCGCAAAATGGATATCATTTTCGCTATTTGGATATGAAAAGTTCAAATATGCAGGCAAATTTACTTTATTTAATATTGAATTTACATGTCTAAATTTTGTGCTTATTTTAATATTATTATTACCTTCATGAATAGCAATAACTAATGATGATATTGATGATCAATTGAAAGAAAAATAGATTAAAGCTTTTGAACAACGCAATAATGAAGATAAAGACATGATTGAAGATTTTATAAAGTCATTAGAAATTAAACAAAATGATAAGCTTGCATTAAGATATCGTGCAAAGGCTCATTTTATTATAGGAAAATATAAAGAAATGCTTGCAGATTTAACTAAATTGCTTGAAATTGATCAAGATAATGTATTCGCGTTAAGATATCGTGGAGAAACTTATCTTATATTAGGAAAATATGAAGAATTAAGTGCGGACTTGAAAAAATTACTA